TCATATATTAATTTATAGTGTTATAAGTATAGTCGTATTACGTTAATATTTAAAAATATTACATGTACACAGAAACTCATTACACGAAAAAATCTTGATAATTCCAATAAATGTCATAATTACGTCAATATCCAATTTTTAATACCAATAATCGCATATATATTTATATATATTCTCAGTTTTGTTTTAATATACACATTTTGCGGGCAAACCCGTGTGATAGCTCTAGTTGTGTTAATCCCCTGTCTACTTCACAAGAGCCCCTCACCTGTACATCGCTTAAAGTATTCAGTGACAACGAAAATGTATTAAAAAATGTACATCCGTACATAATACGACGAATCATGAAGAAAAAATTATATAAATCTATAAAGATTTTGATAATACTAAAGATTTATTTGTAAATCTCATGAGATTTGATCGTTTATAATTTAATTAAGATCCAAAATATATGGCCTATGTTATTACCTATTATATGGGCTATGTGTATGTTAAAGTCTGATCAATTTTAGTCAAGCCGTTTCAAAGATAAGCTTGAACAAACAAACGGACAAAAATTTAAAAAACTTTATGTATACTGTGTGTATATAGAAAAAGGCTCTTATTTCTCATATATTTTGATACAAATATGCTTTTTAAGATTAAAGTGGTTTTGAAATAAATATACCCGTCCCGGATTCGAACCCGCTACAAAAATAATTCAGTATTGTTGTTTCCAAAAATCTTTGACAATACTATTGTTACCTACATTCCCGTGGGATCCCCTAGATAAGCTCCCAATCTTCATAAAAACAGGATCATATGCAAATTGCTTAACTAGTTTCTCCGTAACACACATACATACATACACAATAAAAATTCAACATTTAATTCTGTCATATATTTAATTTAATTGTGACAGCCCTGACCACACTAGTGACAGCCCTGACTTTACTACCAACATAAAAGTTACATATAAAAATTATGTCTTAATATAAATCAAACAAACAAACACACAATATCAACTTACATTTTTATATATATAAAAATTTCTAAGAACATACTTTCACAAGTAACTCCTTATTTCTACACTTTCATAGAATAAAATACCTTATTTGTATATACATAAGTATTAAAATTCCATATACCAATATATTGTATGGAATTCATGTTGCTCATAGTACTATACAAGCAAACGATAATATGACTTATATGTGGGTAATACGTATTAAGTTCTCATGTGATAATTATTGGTACAAAATCTTTAGCTATAACAATAGTATTACAAGCAATTATTTATCTTAATATAGGAATATAAGGCTCAAATTTCATTGAACTAAATGTCTACTGATTGTACTGTAATGAGTACAAGTAAATATGAACCGTATTGTATTGAAATAAAGTTCAATTCAGCTTATAGTTTGTCTTTAAATTGGAGCGAATCGTGCGTACTATTATTGCTGTTCGAAATCGTGTTCTTTTTTTAAAAAGTTTAAAATTTTCTTTAATGTAATGCGGTTGGTGTTTAAGGAGTATTTTATCATGTTACTTAAATCGCCTCAGGGCTAACGACTAAGAATTTGTTTAATATACAACCAGCAATTTATTTTTATTGATTTTTTTTAAATTAAACCTAATCATTTTTTAATTTGGAACGTATTTTAAAATAATATTATTCTAATATGAATTCGTTTTATAAAAATAACTGGCAGCGTGTTTTTAAAAAAAAATTAAAAAGTTAAATTTCAAATTCGGAACGTTCAGTTCAGTTCAGCGTCTGTCGTGAGAGCGGAAGCAACGCTTGTTGTGATGCTTTTTATTTTATTCGCAACCAACATAAACATGCAGCGAGTTACTTGAACTTTGTTTTGAGAACGTGGCAGTTTGCATTTGGCATTATATAGCAGTTCCAGGCCCATATGGCATTAAAAAAAAACTAAAAATTTTAAAACAAATGAACAAAAATAAATATTTAAATTTGGAACGGGAACATAGTAACACACATTTTTCTATATTCCGCCACATTTCCTCATCAGTATGAATAGCTCTTATTGCATTGTAATAAAGTTGAATTTTGATTGGCTGAGAGTTGCATAATACAAAAAAATAGCAAACTAACACGTGATGTCATAATCATATAAATACATGTTATACATACAAATAGAGTCGATTATCGTTTGGCTTGAATGTAAGACCAAAAATTCAAATTTGGAACGCGAAAGCAGTCTTATGAAGATTAAATTGATTGGCTTCCCATACTAATTATAAGTTGACATTTTGCTATTACCTAATCCTTATTACAATAACATAGAGTACATTTTTGAATGGCATTTTATTGGAACAAGTATCTGCCAAGAAGTGGCGTGATCTTAACATTGATGACTCTTAATTGTATATAAATAAAGTCTATTTTCATATAGCGTATTATTGCATAATTATTATGTATTTTATTTTGTCCGCATATTGCATATTTCATACGATCATTGCGTGTTCTAAATTTGAAATTTATTTTTCTTATCAAATTCCCGCCATATCTTTTGGGAATGTTTTTTTACCAATTAATATTATGTTAAATTATAATATTTTATTGTGAAAAATTCAAATTAATTGTGGTTAATTAATTGTGTTAGTTGTTGTAAATTAAGTTTATCTATTGACTTTGAACTTAAACTATTGGTTAGGTAATAATTTAGACGTTTTACAATCAAGATGCGTTGAACTTTACACAATGTCAAGGCTGCAATATTATCGTAAATAAATTTGTTTGTATACCGGAATATCTTATACTAACTTTTGCCGCGACTTCGTCCGCCTGGAATAGAGACTTCCGGCAGATTTTTGGTTCTTCCCACATAGTTCCCGTTCTTGCGGGGTTTTCGGAATGGTCGAGCTCCCGTAGAGTTTTCAGGATTTTTTGTTTTTTTTTTAATTCACAATGAAGTACTCTTAACCAACAACATATTTATTTGTTTATTGAATAAAGATTAATATTATTATGTTGATACAACTTAAACAATTTATTTCGACCAAATCAGGTACCATAAAAACGGTTTTTGTGAGTTAATCTTAAAAGACAGACATATACTGTCGCGGACTGTTTTTTAGATCATTAAAAGAGCTATTATTCTTTAATACATATTTTTTGTATATCTTGAACCGTTTTCACGGCGCACGCAACGGAAGGCTTCAAAGATGAAATAATTTCTCCCGTTTTTTACACATTTACCACTATATCTTTGCTCCTATTAGTCGTAGCGTGATGTTTTATAGCCCACAGCCTTCCTCGATAACTGGACTATCCAAGACAAAAAGAATTATTCAATTCGAACCAGTAGTTTCGGAGATTAGCGCTTTCAAACAAACAAACAAACTCTTCAGCTTTATAATATCAGTATAGATATAAAATTCTCGTGTCGCGGCGTTAGACAGAGAACTCCTCCGAAACGGCTGGACCGATTTTGATGAAGTGATCATATTGACTAGGTCTGAGAATTGACCAACATCTATTTTTCATACCCCTAAGTCATAAGTTATTCACCCTTAATTTTTTGTTTTTATTTTTCTATAATGTACCATTAAAAATGCATACAACCCAAAATTTTTACGTTTCCATCACCAACCCCTATTTTTTATATCAAAACAACGTTTGCCGGGTCAGCTAGTATATAATGACTTATTTCTATATTTAAGCATTATCCATATTATTAGTTATCGAGTTATAAACGCGTAACTTAAAGTTTGATCGTGTATAGTTTTGTTTATAAGAAACTTTGATACTTTGAGTTTAACCGTACGTATTTTAATAGTGATGTTTATGAGATAGAGTATTTGATGACAGACATACACCGGGCGTCTAGAAATAGCCTAAATACTAGTAATACTATACACGCAGCGTTTCACGTTTCCCAATACTGTTAACGAGTTATGTAGTGATAGAAAACTTGTGGTAAGCTTATATTGGAGAGATTATTTCGTAATTGGTACAGCAGATTTTTGTATTGAGTTAATATATTTAATTAATATACTTTTTTCTGTTCTAAAGGTTATTCGCAGTATTTATCCAAATATTTGTATATAGTCCAAACAGCGCAAATAATAAATCCACACTTGGTCACAACACGTCTTTACGTTTTCGCTTATTTGTGTATGTGTGTTATTTGTGCAAATATGTCAAATGAAGACGAATAAATCGTCCACATATGGTCTTATCTGGCAGAACAAAAGGTAAGATTTTAGTATGAGTTGATATACTTATATACATACTAGAAGACCTGGCGAACTTCGTATCGTCCTATAATCAAGAAATATCTGTTACGTTTTTTTATTTATATTTTTGGAGTTTACCTATTAAAGCCATAAATCTCCGTGTTTTGAAGTGCGACAGAATGATTGACATATTAGCTAGTTGTCAAATCTAATGTCAAAAAAAGAACGTTTGTATGGGAAATAAAAAAACGCTGTTTTTAGGGTTTTCCCGGAAATTAATAAAAAATTTTCATCTTTTAAACCTTCCCTGAACCTCCACGAACATTTCAAGACTAAGATAAGATAAATCCGTTGAGCCGTTCTCGAGTTTTAGTGAGACTAAGGAACAGCAATTCTTTTTTATACAGGGTGACTGGTGAATTACTATCAATATTTAAGGAGAGTACTCGGTACATGATTCTCATTCGAATTATGTGAAAAAAAAAGGCACTTAATTTTTGACAAAATTTCCGTATAAATAAGTAAAGTGTTGACACGTTCCAAGTGTTCAAGTGTGGACGCGTGCGGCGGCGTGCTGATACAACACTACGTCACGACACGCGTATGTGTGAGTGTCAGTGTATACCTAATCTGTAGGGTGTTCACACGATGCGTAATTAATTACATAACTTTTGGTTAACTTTACTTAGAAGTTTATTAATATTTATGTTATATTAATTTTTATTTCGTCATATATGATCGTCAAATATCACGTCCTCAAATATCGATAGTAATTCACCAGTCACCCTGTATATATAGATATATAGTCAACTCACCCGTCTTTCCCCACATAAGTCTCCTTCGCCGTAATTCCGTTGTAATGTATCCTATTCTCAATCTCCCCATCCACCAGTACATCGGTCATAACAAAATTAATTATCTCCTTATTCAAATGCCGCCTCAAATATTTTATATCATTTAAAACCTTTTTGGTGTTTGGATGTATATGTTGACTTCGGCTCGTATTGGCAACATTTCTTACGTCACTGTCACCTATTGACATGTCACTGTCACTGTAACCTGTCATTTGACTGTCACTGTCACTTATGTCACAATTTATGGAGCCTAGCAATAGAAGAAGGAGTATTGGCGTACGTATAATTTTCCTCCACACAGGTATGTCTGATTTCTTCTTAGCTTTTGGTGATTTTAATTCCATTGTGAATCTGTAACAAAAATATATATATATAAAAGAAAGTCGTGTTAGTTACACTATTTATAACAACTGTACTGGTTTGGATGAAGATTGGTGGAGAGATAGATTAGAACATAGAAATGACATAGGATCCTTTACATACGATTGAAAAATAAAAAATAAGTTGATCAAATACAAAATCTTATCTACTGTCTTTAATGAGTATAGTTCGCTGAATCAAATAAATTTCTAATTCTGAAACGCAGACGAAGTCGCGGACAGAAACTAGTATATAGGAATAAAAGATTTTTAATGTTTTCAATATCTATAAGCTAAATCAATTATGATGCTAAAATTGCATCATAATAATTATAAATAATTTAATAATAAGTCTTATTTTATAACAAATTCAAGTAAATAACCACACATTGATTGAAATTATTTTACGATTTCTCAAAAAAATAATAATTGATTAAAATTTTAGGTATATGAGATAAAAGATAATAATTACCAAATTAATTGAATTAATTAAAAAATACGTCACTTTTTCATATATGCAGCATCATTTAAATGACCCGAATTTTATGAGTTTCACGTAAAAACTAACATATTATAGAATTTATATCTAATCGTAGAATGATAAACATATTGCGTAAAATAAGGCGCTTTACACACGAGCGTTTAAAACTTCGGACGGCTAAAAAAACGCTGGAAAATATATTTGAAATGAACGCCAGTGATAATTTTAATTGACTAAAATGATTTATAATTAACTAGCTTTTGCCGCGACTACGTCCGCGTGGAATAGTAACTTCCGGCAGATTTTTGGTTCTTCCCACATAGTTCCCGTTCTTGCGGGGTTTTCGGAATGGTCGAGTTCCCGTAGAATTTTCAGGATAAAACCTATGTTTTTTTTTTATTCACAATGAAGTACTCTTAACCAACAACATATTTATTTGTTTATTTGAATAAAGATTAATATTATTATGTTGATACAACTTAAACAAATTATTTCGACCAAATTAGGTACCATAAAAACGGTTTTTGTGAGTTAATCTTAAAAGATAGACATATACTGTCGCGGACTGTTTTTTAGATAATTAAAAGAGCTATTATTCTTTAGTACATATTTTTTGTGTATCTTGAACCGTTTTCACGGCGCACGCAACGGAAGGCTTCAAAGATGAAATAATTTCTCCCGCTTTTTACACATTTACCACTATATCTTTGCTCCTATTGGTCGTAGCGTGATGTTATATAGCCCACAGCCTTCCTCGATAACTGGACTATCCAACACAAAAAGAATTATTCAATTCGAACCAGTAGTTTCGGAAATTAGCGCTTTCAAACAAACAAACAAACTCTTCAGCTTTATAATATTAGTATAGATATACTGTTGACGCTACGTAAAACTGACAGTTTATACATAGTTAAACTAAACCTTGTACTTGGGGTTCATTGTTTAAATTAAATGAAGTATGTAAGGACTGTTAATAATTAATTTTTACAATACTTTTGTTTTGTATATACATATATAAAAGAAAGTCGTGTTAGTTACACTATTTATAACTCAAGAACGGCTGTACGGATATGGATAAAAATTTGTGGAGAGATAGATTAGAACAAGGAGACGGACATACGATATTTAATTCTGTTCGATCGAAACAGAAAATACTTAATAAACTCCAATATCTGGTTATTTACGTCCTCTAGGTCGGAATAGAGTTCGCCCGATCAGCTATACATATATTACTAATGACGAAATTAACGCGAAGTCGCGAGCAAAAACTAGTATATATATATTTTATATGATCATAAAGAAATTACTGATATATAAAAATTAGAATTATTAAAATATATGATAACCATATATTTTGATTAACATTGTCATGGCCCATATTATATATATGTTTGTTTGTTCGCGTTAATCTCAGTAACTGTTGGTAGTATTTAATGAATTCCTTCATAGTTACAAATTTCGTTTATTGGTGAAGGACACAGTGTATGATATAGGATAATAATTAATAGGAGAAGAAGAATTAGGGGGTGCTAAAAAGAGGGAGACTGCAAAAAGATGGATTGTATGAGAAAAGTAGGAGAGCCTTCCTTGGCAAGAGAATCTAAATAGAGATGAGTAGTCAAACCTGAATGAGGCTTGTGTCATACATACTGATCACTCATCAGCATAATATGACATTAGCTTATTCCCTACTAATATTATAAATGCGAAAGTAACTCTGTCTGTCTGTTACGCTTTCACATCTAAACCACTGAACTGATTTTAATCAAATTTGGTACAGATATAGAGTTGATTTTGATAAAGAACATAGGATAGTTTTTATCCTAGACTTTTGAAAGGTTCTCTTGGAAACGCGATATAACCGAACTCCACGCGGGCGAAGCTCTGGCGGAAAGCTAGTTATAAATAAGTATAAAATAATACGAAATATAATATATATATACGAAAGAAACCGCAGGTTGAAAGCTAGTTTAAAACAATAAAAGCATTTGATAAAATAAATACATAATAATTTATTAATAATAAATTTGATAAAAATATAAAATTTATATTGGTAGATAAAGTGAAATTAATCCACTATGTTTAAAATGTAAGATAATGTTATCTTGGCAAAGAAAATATCATATACATACACTTTTTTACAAATTTTGTCTGTCTGTTTATTCTTGCTAATCTCTAAAATGGCTGGACCGATTTTGATGCGACTTATATTGGCAAATAGTAGTTTGAATCTTATTGATTAGTTGACTGTTATTTCCAAGTTGGTAGCTGGTGTAATAGGTAGTAATTTAGGCTACTTTTTATTTTAATTCCGACTGCGACCGTGATGTATATCATACACTCCATATTAAACACATCTTCGTGGTCTTCTTCATATAAACTATGGATGAGTGATGTCAGTGGTGGCCTAGTGGTTAAGAGGCCCGCCTCTCGTTGCCGTGGGCGCGGGTTTAAACCTGGCAAGTACCATTGTGATTTTTCCGAGTCATATGTACTGTATGAAAGTATTTAGACATCACTGACTGATGAAGGAAAACATCGTGAGGAAACCTGGACTTATAGTTTCACAATTATAAGTTTGAAATCACCAACCCGTCTTGAGCGAGCGTGGTGATTAATGCTCAAACCTTCTCCATGTGAGAAAGAGGCCTTTCAGCAGTGGGCTCTGATAGGATGATGACATGACATGACATGAGTGATGTCACAACTACACACGATGACTAGACTCACTTAAAAATATTTTATAGGTGGTAGAGCCTAGCTGTGGTCAAGTTACTACAGCTCGAACATGTGCTGGCTCGACCGTATGTACCACCTTCTCATAAATCGGCGTGAAGTAGTCTGTCCGATGACTGAGAAGGAAGGTTCCCCTTTCCCTTTTCCCTCCCTTTCCCACTTTTTCCCACCCTTTTTTCCTAATCAAGTGTATCAACATATTCGCAAAACTATATAGCAATGTCTATATTCGATGGTACTACATACATCAAGTAGTATCTGAATTATCAACTTTAGCATAAAACAAACATACAAATGTTTCGTTTTCCATATTTATATTATTATTTGGCCAATATTGGCCAACATCGGCCAACTTGGCCACATATAACCAAGTCACTCGTGATGCGTTCATCTTTATAGTTAGTTAGTATAAGACTTCGTACAATTAACACTAACAAGCCGACACATTTAACATACCAACTTACTGTTATCTGGTTAAATATCGTGAGATTACGGTTAAAATTAACTTTTATATAGGTACATATATATATATTTAAAAACCATTACTTACGGTCAAAATTAAGTTCATATAAAAAATACTATACAAACACATGTTCTTATTACACGAAAAAAATCATTATATTTATGTTAATCTAAAGTATAGTATACTCAAGTTAAATAGCTTCCAGATTTCATACATAAATCGTGAACAATGATAAAATTATGTACGTTTTAACGTCAAACTATAGGTATGGAGTTTTGATGACGACAACGCATACTAAGTTTGCTTTTATTTATGTATGATCAAAGTTTTCTGTCGAAATCTATTAGGTACATATAATATTATATATGTAAGAAAGTCGTGTTAGTTACACTATTTATAATACAAGAACGGCTGAACCGATTTGCATAAAAATTGGTGGAGATAACTGAGAACAAGGAGACAGACATATGATTCTCATCCAATTCGAACTAAAAAACTCTAATTTTATATAAAAAACTACATTTATTTACGAAAAATCATTACAATAAAGGTTTTCGTATAAATATCTATATTCTATACATATTACTCGTTATTTCTTTAACGATCTAACGAAATTTATTAAGTACATGTGAATCATTATTACACGTAAAATACAACTTTATCCTCTTACGTCACTCGTATAAAAATAGTATTTATTTCTTTATAATAGAGATAATATTTTAAGAAATTATTTTCCTGTTCAATTGAAAAATCAACATAATTTTTACGCTATTTAAATATTAAACCACGTTTACTATAAGTCAGTGGTGGCCTAGTGGTTAAAAGGCCCGCCTCTAATGCATGAGGGCTCGGGTTCGATCCTGGCAAGTACCAATGTGATTTTTCCGAGTCATATGTACTTTCTAAGAGTATAGACACCACTTACAGATGAAGGAAAACATCGTGAGGAAACCTGGACTTATATCACAATAATAAGTTTGTAATCGCCAACCCGTCTTGAGCGAGCGTGGTGATTAATGCTCAAACCTTCTCCATGTGAGAAGAAGCTCAGCAGTGGACTCTGATAGGCTGATGATGATCAACTAAACCATATTTCTACCATCAGATACAGTGCACCATTGTGAAACTTCAATATCTTTTAAGCAATTATTTAAAACAATCTGCCTAACTCCAATTCCTCACCTTAAAGAATGTACATTGACAAAATCTTTACATTCTACGTCCCGAATTCTGTAATAATACCAAAAAACATTCAAAATAATCCTATTTATAATAAAAAACTCGTTTAATATATGAAGAATTTCA